AAGCGCTTATTTAAGATCATTAAGGCTATTATGTTTGAAAGCCAGGCTTAATAATGATCGTGATGAACGGACAACGAATACAGTTTAATACTGTGACACTTTCTTTTTAACAGAAGGATAAATAGGTTATTAATCCCTTAATGTTAATATTGCAATATAGCAATGTGTTTTATTGTGCGCTGGTTGTCCCATAAATAGGCTTTTTAATTATTAAGGCCGTTTTAATTAATGTGCAGTGGCTGAGATTTGAAGCGCAGCGTGAGTGGAAATCTTTAATCACATGTACGCCGACACCAGAGTGTATTTCACACATATTTAATGTCATTTAATTCAAACACTGTATATACAAACTGTATTTACAGAGTTACATATTTACACCGTGCACTGTTAATTCATGATGCTGTAGCCTAGATAATGGTTAATTAAGTACAGTTTGAGAAACTAAACTTGTGCTTGATTTCCATTTTACACTACTTTATAAATATTGTAGAAATAGCTGGCTTCTTCTTAAAGATTCAAGTTTTAAACAAAAATGTGCAGTTTATAAAATATACAGCACATAGGCCTATATGCACAATTGATTAAACTACCCAACCAATGGTAGCTTCACCTCCACCAGCTACAACATCAAAATACTACTGAAATCCACTAAGATCATAAATAACGGTGTAATATAAGAAGACATGCTGCATAATTATCTCCTTTGAAGTACATTTTGATTTATACTTTTACTTTATAGGATCTGATTACTTCCTCCACTGCTGCATGAGGAAGAAAAAAAAGGTGTTTTATGAAGTTTATATAGATTATCTCATTAAGAGCGTCCTGACCTTTGCCAGCTCAGCAAGGACCTCATAAAAATCTTAGTCATGTAGTGACTCAGTAAACCCAGATGGAGATGCTTGGAAAGCAGACTAGTTAACACTTCCACCTTATGTCCGATTAAATATTTAATTTATGACACTCTGTGCTTTTGTGTTTCAGTCAACAGTGAAGTGTTAAACAGCTTAAGACACAAGAATTCAGACACATATTACTGTCATTTCAACGGTGCAGTCATGCATCTCCGACTGAAAAACACGGCAGAAGTTAAGCCCCTGCCATATGTGTCTGGTCGATAGAAGTGAGCTGCTGGATATCGGCTGAACTTCAAAAGGCAACCCTGGTGGCCTAAATCTTGATAGGATATTATTTTGACACGCATCACCGATGTGGAGTAATTATCCTCCATCTAAAGAATCAAATAGTTCAAATTTAACATTTTGTTTACTAAATAGAAGCCTAGATTGCTTTGTGCTTATTTTCAAGGCTTTTCTAACACTTCATTTAGCTTTGTTGGTAAGCAAATTCTCTACCAAGGCTGCCGGTGTAGTTTGACCACACAGTATGTGATGTATTCAACTTTGAATGAAGGTATTTGAACCATTTCTGGTTATGTCCACCAGTAATCCTGCCTTCATGTGTTCCTCATATTCTCCCGTACAACACACACAAGTTTTAAACCTGTCCATCTGCATATTTCCGTTAAAAATTCCAAGATAATAAGAGCTTTAAAACAAGATGAGTGAGACAAAATGCACACAAGTATGCAGCTGATGTCTAATAAGTCTATTCCCTAAATATTCCTTCGTAATATAAAATAATCACAATCACTTTTAACCATCAGGTTTCATTGTGGTTTTGGATGAAGAGGACTTTCCCAGTAATATTTACAATGTTTTGGGGTCATTCGTGTGTGTGTCTTAGTCATAAATATGATATCTCTGACAGCACTTGAAGGCAGCACAGCACTGCCCGAGGACAGAGGGTGAGAAGTAATCAGTTTATTACCTTTATTAGACTTCTCTTGGAAGTAACTTGATCTTTTGTTTTTTTTCCCCCCTCCATCGACCAGAGCCGCGTCATTAATTCAGGTCTATTTTTTACAGTAATATATTTGCAGAAAACACAACCTAACCTCTGAACTTCTGATGATGGATTTATAGCGTTTGACTCGGCAGACAAACCCAACTTATCTCTGGTATGAGGAGGTCACAAGCCGGGTCATGAGTCAGTATTTTAAACCTAAATCTTGTTCTTTTTTTAAAAACTTATTTGAACGTATTTTCTGGATGAGATAACGAACGTAAACAAAATGTGACACTTTTGTTCAGATGGATGCATCGTTGCTATGCCTGAATTTACAGTAGAGAACTACTTTTTGGTAGGAAAACACTCAAACTTTATCCCCTGTTGTCAGGGGAGACTGAAAGATTTAAAACCTGCTCTCCTTCAGATTCTTTCAGGTCTGCGTGGCCTTTTAACTGGGACCCGAAGGAGTTGGGTCAGTGCTGATTGAACCCTGAGTGATATAAACCCTCTCCAGTTGTAACAGGGAGCCATTGTACCTAATCCCCGCCTCTCAAACTCAACCCCAAATTTTACTCCAGACATCTATCAGACAGCTCAAAGTTGGAGAGCTAATCTCAAGTTTTCCTTTCAGCGTGCAGCATATCATTATGAGCTATACAGTAGCGCTAGTGCTCTAATGAATGCAAGCCCATGAACTGAAAGACTTCTCTGAATCGTTTCAGATAATACTCTATGTAATTAGTCCGCGTTTCCAGAACTTAGTTCAACATCTGTTGTGCAAGCAAGGTTTAACTGATGGTGTTGAAAAACAACTAAGGAAACGCACAGTATGGAGTAACGTCACAAAGACACAAATATGGGTTCCAGACCTTTGTTTGTGGTCATTAGCTTCTCCCATGGTCTAAATATATGCAAATACAGAGAGTTGGCTCCAATTGTTTCAATGCTGCAATTTTAAAAATTCAAACAACTTACTTTAGCTTTCACCGAAACCTACTGAAATGTCTTGTGTTGGTCCAAAAACTCCCAAGATATCCAGTTTACTATCACAGGACACTAAGAAACCATTAAATATTAATGTTTGAGAAGCTCTAACCAGGAAAAATGTGGCTTTTGCTTTCAGAGGATTCAGAGTACGCTGTATGAGCACACAGTGCAGGACAGTATGGTTATTCTCTCTGCAGCTAAGACGTGGATCAGTTTTATTGGGGCATGCATAATGCAAAGAAAACAAGCATTTACAACCCACTATGCCCGGGGATAAAACATAAAATAGAGTCAGGGGCAGCGGAACTTGACGCTGATCTTACACAAATCTACTGATCTCAATTCACGGGCAAAACCAGGTCATCTGGTATTTAATTCATTGATTGACATCTCAGTGAATCTAAGAAGAGCATTTGCTAGAGAGCACACTGCCAGGACTGCAACTGAATACTATGAGACGTCATCGAGGAAAATGAAACAAAATGAAAAAGGAAATTAAAAATTGATATTAACAGTAATAAGACTGCCATCAATGCTATAATAATAGAGTGTAGCCTGTGTATATTTAAATCTCAATAACAATGAAATTCATGAGAATGTAGCACAGCCCATAGAAAATGATGTTTGTTGCTTGCTGTTATATCAATGACACTTTTCTTGCACACAAACAAGTACTGCTTCAAATCTTTGTAAACCAAAAGGCACTTGGGGATCTTCTCTCAATATTAAAAGACTACGTGAATTAATTAAACTCATACAGTGACAACACAAACTGGAATGTCCCCAGTTTATTTGATCTGCTGACATTGAGATGATACATTTCACAGCACCATCATGCACCGTTTGAAGTAATACACTGTCAGATATTCTGAAAGTAGTTCAAACCTTTAGGCTATGTTTATGTTGAGGGGTTATTCTCTATGGTATATGTTCGTCACAGACCTGTCAGATCCTCCTTTGGAGTCAGGAACGAAAACAAACGGTTTCCCTTCTGCACAACGATGGCCACAGTTGCCCCTGATTTAGAGATGTTTAAAAGGATTAACACGGCAGCTAAGAGGATAGTTCTTGAATTCCTCAGCAAAGTCTCATAATGAGGAATGTGTGTTCTCAAGACTTTTATCCTCGCTGTAAACTCCAGTATCTGTTAGCCTAACTCAGGCTGTGGTTTTAAACGTTTAACAGCTTTTAAAAACAATTTATAAAAACTTGTAACAAGAGATATTGGTACTACTGTGGGAGGATGAGACTCTTATTCCATTACAGTACCTCAAGTAATCATCACTATTATAGGAAATGTTAATCAAAGTTTGATAATGCAATGAAGTACAACACTTTTTCTTTTTTTTTAATTAAAAAAAAAAGGAGCAAAAGACTAATTTCCTCCTCTGAAGGGTCAGCAGTGGGCACTTTATTAATGGAGCAGTGAATCTATTTAGTCAAGGAACTGATTTGGAAGTAAAGAAGGTCTAGAGGGGGACATTTCCTCCTTGAGCATACCTGCTGTTGCAATCTCCGGTTTAAAGGAGTCAAGAGTAAAAGACAATGCACATGCTGACTTGGCACTACCAATGAATGACCCCTTGCTTGACAGAAAACATTTGGCAAGCAAGGACTAATGGCTAAATTCCCAAAGGGCAAAAAGGGCTTGGAATTAAAACATTACTAATGTTTGTCAGAAATAAAGTTAATAGTTATAAGTCATCCAGTCCTTTGTAATGCAGTTATTTACATCCAGGCACAGATGCTGAGAGGAAAAGCGTAGACTAGTAGGGTTTCTTTTGATTTAAATAACGAAGCAAGCTCCCAGTATGAGCAGCACACACAGCTGATCACTTTTATAGAGCAATTTCTTCCATTATTAGACTTTAAAAAAAAATAAAATAAAAAAAAATAAGTTTACATATTATTCACTCATAACTGAGATAATGACATATACACATCTTTTAATTTTTATTTTGTTATATTCAGGGTACTCATTCTATGTGGAAAAGCATAACATATTACCCATTCTTATATAGTCTGCAATTTGGATTGTTACTGCTTAATTCCATTTTTAGGTACCCTTCCTGGGGATTTATCTGGTCTGCTTACGGTCTTTTCTCTCCCACAGTGTTTTCCTGCCCAAACAGAAACTTGCATGAGAGTACTTTGGACCAATGATGGAGGCCTGGCCAACACTGGCCTGGGTCCTGCTAATGACCAACATTGCTAATTGGCAGAGAACTGTCCAGTCCCGGGACTTCTCCTTGACAGATATCATCCTGCTGCATCCCTCAAGTATGAGCATAACGTTACTATTTGCATAACTTGTGTTATGAGTGTAAAAATACTGTAACCATATTGCCAGAGGCGTTTTAGCCACACTAGTGTAAATGCATCCAACATTGCCAGAGACCAAGCTCCAAGGACACTCAAAGACAGCAGGTGTCGAAAGCAAAAGCTATTTATTTAGTACTGACATAGAAATAAACAAATGTAGCAAATTAATCTGTGTGAGGTCAACTGAACAAACAACTAAATGAACAAATTAAACATGCAGAGGGTTTACATACACACAGGCTAGCCTGGAGACATATAGGGGGGACATGAACAAACAATGAACTATAACATGTTAAACTGAGTACAAACAAGGATTCAGAAATATACATCTATATCAGGGACAATGTACAGTTAGCTTCCACTTCTTGCCATTAGCTGGTGATGCAGTCAGTGGTGGACTCCACCGTGGATGCATGAAACAGAAAAAGGCACAGCATTAAAGCCTGATAATGCAGCAATGTCAAAATGTTATCGTGTGTGCAAGATTAGTTAATATGACACGTGTTGTGTCCCCGTACAGAGCTGCATTTACTTTGGATCAGAATAATGAAACACGCATTTAGTTGTTTAAGACTCTTCTATTTCCAGAAATGTGTTCTTAAAATCATCCATTCATCCATTCATCCATCCATGGCTACCCTGTTGCCCTCTAGCTGCTGTTTGAAGACATTGCAACAGGCTTTGTTCCTGTGATTAAGAAGTGGCTGACCCTGAGACCTAGAGCTGTCCCAGCTAAAACACAGCCTGATTCCCAGTACAGATGTGACTCTTGTTTGATCACTGTGTCAGTGCAGTTTAGTAACCAGATGATTGTTCAGACATGGAAAACAAATCTTTTATATAAAGAACCTGGCAACATCCGTTACATAGGTGTTGAGCATTAATCCCAGACTGTGGGCTTTGTTTTTCAAAAAACAGAGACACACTCAGCATCACGCCAATAAGGTTCAGATTTATTACCTTTCTTGCTGAATCAGCAATCACATCAATAAAGAACAAAGAAAACAATAGTGTGACTGTTGATACACCAGCTGCTTCACGCCATGAGCTGATGTGTGCAGTTCCTGGTCTGTGTGTACCTGCCAGACGGCCAACTGGGAAAAGAGAGACACCACACAGACTTACAAACCCCAGGTTTGGGAGGGTTGAAGTTGAATTTTGTAGACTGGAAAGAGTCGGGGGTACGCAGCAGTCAGTTGCCCTCTGGTAGCAGGTGGAGGTGCAGAGGAGACAATAGCTGACCTCCCATTTCCTGCTCGGGAAAAGAGATGAACAAACCTGTATCAGAGCTAGAATCTGGATGGAGATGGGAACCTGAGGAGAGGCAAAAGATACCTGGGAAGACCAGGTTTGTGGACCACATGTTTAAGCATAAGCTGAGCAGTCTCTTTGGCAATTAGCAGCTTGACCTGAGGAATAAAAAGCACCTGAAAGCACAGATGTTCTGGGGACAAAGAGACAATTAGTACAACACCCACTGGGGGGGTTGGAGTTGCTGGTGTGACCACTTTACCTGACATGTGATGTCCCAGGTGATTGTGCCAGTGACAGAGTTTTGGGAGAGAACTGACTTACCTGCACATTGGTGGCGTTAACTTCCACCTTCAACTGATAAAAGAGTTAGGACAAGTGCAGTGGTGAAGTTACGTTTGAGCTCACCACAGAAAAGGCAAGTTTCAAGAGATAAGCAGTTCAGGAACAACACTACTGAACTGTAGTTACATATGGAAGTTAGT